TAGTCATGTGATGCAACTCATCCGCGTTATGAGCAAACAACGCACAATCGTCAGCGGACAGTAACATACGGATAATTATCTCACAGACTAGGGTTCTGGCACCGAAGGCTTTGGCTGAGAACCTAAGTCATTCTCAGGTATGGGCGCCCTGCAAGTATCTTAGTCCATCCTCTTCGGAGGGGAGGAAGTGGTCGATAGCCCTCTTCCCGTAAAACCTAGCCATAGAAGACAACAGGTCTACAGGTTATAAGCCCACAGCTCGACTGGCATAGAGCACGAGCGTCACGCAGTCTCTGACGGTAGGAAGACACCTCCGGGTGCTCATTGGTGTGCTACTGCCTGCCTCAAGCCAGGCAACCCCTGGTCAAATTGGTGCAAACCCGCCAAAACCCACCTGCTTCTGGCCGTTTTCACAGGTGTATTCTACTGCGGTCGCAAAACATATTTGAATCGTCCCAGCACCTCAAACATTGTGTGTGACGGCCGTCAGGCAGATCCCAATCTGTCTCTGCAACCACATTCCCGAGCTGGATCTGCTCCCAACTGTCTTGTGGGTCAGGCTATTGAGCCAAAGGCTCCGGGCGGAGTCCGTCAAACAAATCTCTGAAGCACAACGACCACCTCGCGTGCGATTGCTCACTAATGCAATCGTATGCATGCGCGCAAACTACTCAGCACCTGGTGGTGGAAGGTGCGCAAACTACTGGACCGGAACTCGAGTGAGCGCCCCGAGCGACGCACTGCACTGGCCGCGATGGAACTGGCGCGCTACAACATCGATATTGCGGCACTCAGTGAGACCCGGCTAGCTGAGCAAGGTAAGTTGCATATATCAGGTGCTGGCTATACGTTCTACTTGGTGGGCAACGCCACCTCAGCACCACGTGAACATGGAGTCGGAGTTGCAATATCCGATCGCCTCCATGACCAACTGGTTTCAGCGTGTGACTGATGACTGTTCGCCTACGACTCGGAAGAGGTAAGTTTGCCGCCTTTATAAGCCTGTTCGGTCCGACCATGTGTTATCCTGATGACATGTGTGATCAGTTCTAAACTCCTCTATCCTCCGTGATAAGGTCTGTGCCGAGGAGCGACCGACTATTTCTCCTGGGTGATTTTAACGCGCGCTGGGCGTGATGCATCGGTGTGGATAGATGCATCGGTCGGCATGGCATTGGTTCAGCGAATGCGAACGGTGACAGGCTGCTCTCATTGTGTGCCACTCACAGCATGACGACCGCGGATATCTTTTAACTTCAGCTTAATAGTAAGAAGACAGAATTGACGCTGCTTGAAAACGTTTACTTGCACAGCTGATGTTACAACCAAGTGTGCGGGAAAGACCATAACTACCCAGTTGGTCGAAACCAATCAATGCCCACGTGCTATGTGGCTGGCCGAAAGTTCCAAAGTACCATGCAAACACATGCGCTGGAATTTGGTCGATTTTCACTTGCCGTTTGTGTGCCTGACATGCATGAGCTCTCTAACACTTTCCCCGGTTAAAAGTAAATTGTTACACATAGGTACTTTTGCTTGGAATGACAATGAGTCCCTTACTTGGGGGCGCGTAGGTGTTGTGAAGGCAGTTCACAGTTACGCGAGGAATATTCATTTCAATAAATCACATCTGGTATTTACAACGAAAAGGCAAACTTGGACAACCGGTTGTCAAGTGAAGGCTAGGTCTAAATTGTAAGAACCGCGAAATACATACCATCTATTGACTTAACACTGCAGGTTTAGCTCGATGTCTTAGTCAGTCGAATCAGGCCGGTCACACCGTACATACACCTACACGAATGATGGCAGACCGATCAGGGAGCGACAAACGGAGTCCGCTTGTCATGTCCAAGAATGGTAACTCTCACTGAAGCGTATTCATGGTCAAACTAAGATCAAGGCTTGCACCAAAGTCTGTCGATTACACAGCTCAATTTTCAAAATCCTGATTGCGATGGCTTCGGACGTGGTTAACAGCCCTTTTAGCGCTTTGGAGTACTTTTTCAGGGTGGTATAACTGAATTTGCGTTAACCATTTGCTTGAATCTGGTGTCCTGTTTCAACCAAATGCTTGGGAATAGAACTGTTGATCGGCCGTGCGGTCGAAGATAGGATCACGAACCGAGGCACCTTGCCAATCTCGGTCACCTGCAGCGCCAGCGCGACAGCACTGTACGTCGGAAATACTATGTTTAACTTACAGCCATCCACTCAATCCTACTTTACGGTCACGAAACCTTGCCCATCAGATGGACAGACGTAAAGAGACTAGTTACTTTCGGTTATCTCTGCCTTCGCAGTTTATCTCATGTCTGGTGCGAACCGCGCACGAGCAATGAGTGTGTTCGGTGTCCTGCGTTTGGTGCAGGAAGATCGAGTGAGCCGCTCAACCCTCAACTTCGGTGGCTGGGACACGTGTTTCTCATGCGAACACACCGACTCCGATGATGTGATTTTGCGCGACAGGGGTATGGATGGGAAAAGAGTCATCATCATCATTCATCATTATACATGTCAGCTAGAGATGGTAAAACACCTCCGCTATTGTACCGCAATAAAATAGCGGATGGGAAAAGAGGCGAAGGGGCCAAGCGATGCCTTGGTCAACAGGTGTGAAGTTTCTCACTTCGAAGATGGCGTAGATTGGCGTTTCCAGATTTTTCGGCTGGGGCCCGGAGGAAGATGTGCACTATTGGCTGGATGCGCTTATTGACATAGTGCAGAGCGGACCACATTGGCGCCTGTGCTGTGAGTTTCGTAGTCCCTCCCAAACCTAATCCTGAGAGACCCCTTTTAATACTCAGTCAAAACACCTCGCTAGGAGGTCACCAGTTTAAGTTAATCCTGCAGTAAAGCCGCCTGGAATGTCGGCGAAACTATTTCTCCCTTCGAGTGTCACAGCCTTGGAATGCACTCCCGGAACATGTAATTAATGCATCCACCCTATCCCTTTTCAAAAAACGCCTAGACGATACCCTGTCGCATTTACACTACGTGCTATATCTCATGACCATCAGATGCTGGCACTAATGCACAACAGACAGGGGATAGTGCCATAACCCTACTCGAGAGCGAGTCACTCCAAACGCCTTGCACGAAATTTGATAAACGCTACTACTATAGAAACTGGATTTCTGTATCCTGTCGACCGACAATAATCGCACACAAGTAAGCGTTGTCCTTGCTATAGTTTTTTTTAAATTTTTCTCGCCTATGATGGGAACAATAACCACTCTCCTGTTGCTTTGTGTGCGTACATTCTTGTTTCGAACCCCCTTTATACGAAAATGCATTTACATCTTTAAGCGCCCGAACTGAAAACATTATCCCTTCGCTATCTTTTTTGTCACGCTATCCACCCTACGGGACATGTCAAGCACCTGCTTTTTTACCCGTCATAAATCATTGTTTATTGTTCAAACCCGCTTATCTTTCTCCTTCAAGTACGACCTCACACATGTGCAATATGAGAACAAGCATTACATTAGCTGGTTTCTGGTATTGCATTTTATGCTGCAATCGTTTGTGTCCCGTTTTTTTCTGCATCTTATTTGTTATCGCGGAACACTAACTGAATTCATCCTCAGGTAACGTGTAATTGTGATGAGGATGACAGAACTATCGATAAATGATAAATGATAAATGTTATATTCCTCGGTGTTTCGAGGTGCAGTCCAACTATGTGGTCTGATCAATGTGTACAACAAGATCGCAAAAAAATAATCAATTTGTTCACGCTTTTTACAATGGATCCAAAAACAGGTACTAAACTAATTGGCAGGATTAAGGCATTAAAGAAAATAAAAAGCAGGAACAATAACGTAAGCAAATTTAAACAGATGTCCAGTTAAAGTAATACGGCCACTCGTGGAACCATCCCCACGGTGCTTCTTTGTAGCAACGCAAGGTAGGGTTCAGCGAATATACCTATGAGCTTTATATGAAACTTTGGTGCGTCGCAGTTCTATCAATGACCGATAACTCTCGGATTTGCTGATGTTTTAATAAGATTTTTATCACGGTTGTAATTCAATCCCGTTTATTTCACCCTTCGTAATGGTCAGTCGGGGAAACGTTGGCGCCCAATGTCGCGTTTTTTTCTTTTTCCTAGCTTCCGTTCTGGATTGCAAGTATTGCGCGAAATTACTTATGAGTGCAAGGATTTTGGTATTTTTGTTCGTCGCAATCAGCCGACAATTCAGATATGTCGACCAGCTATCCGGAAAAGCACCAGACGGCCGTTTCGCCCTATTGGGGCTCATCAGTGGTGCGCATCCTTCGGTCTTCTGGGGAGGATCGAACCCATGACTGCTAGTGGCTCTTGCCAACTAGCCCGCAGCTTATGCAACTGCGCCATGGAGGACGATATTCGACCATCACGAATTGTTAGCTAAATGCGATGTGGCCCGACCCATCCTCCACTGCCATGCAGGCACCTGCCATGCAGATGACAGCGGTCGGCCTTCCGGTGTCAGGACTTCCCGGATGAGCACCACTGATGAGCCCCAATAGGGCGAAACGGCCGTCTGGTGCTTTTCCGGACAACTGGTCGACATTTCTGAATTGTCGGCTGATTGCGACGAACAAAAATCGTGCGGCATGTTTGTGCGACCCAAGCTAGTACTTTTCAATTATCCGACCCGCTGTGAAAATGATTTGATGACAGTATTGCCTACGTTTGACAGAAGCCAACCTGTGCATTTTAATGGAACCTTGGGCACTGTGACTTAAAAGCACAAAACGGGATGCAGTAAGGCGAGTGAGGATGTTCATGCTATTAGACACGATGAAGATGTCGCAAATCTTTCTTGGAGACAAAATTGTAAATGATTCACTTTTCAGTGACGATGCGCTACAGTGTTCCCACCTGGGCGGAGTGTCGAATACACGGCTAAATTCTCCCAATGTGCTTGTCAATCAACAGCAGCTTCTGTAGTAACAGATGCTGCAGGTGATACAATAAACGGGTAGGAGTTTTTCCATTTCTTTCATTGTGTTTAGAGAACGGGATCTAACAGTGAACTTGCCTGTTGGCCATTCACAGCCTCTTCGGCAGGCACAGTTCCACTACTCGTTTGGTCATTTCTTTCCAAAATTCTGCAGCACATCTCCGTTTCGTACGGGCAGTTGTTGAACTCTTTACCGAGTTTCAGTCTACAAAAGCAGCAGTCAATGATGAGGCAACATGAAAGAAACGATGCGTGTTGGGTGACTGCTAGCAATATTGGGGGTTCGAAAAGATGAGCCCTTGAAGTCAGATGCCGAACTAATCAACTGCAGTCACCGGTAGACCGATAAAACAAATTTGAACGTCCCGTGCCAAAACAGATTCACCTATTAGTGCCACCTAGCGGTTTTACTTAAGTTTTTGCTTAAAATAAAAGGATACGTAACATCAAAACATTCAACTGTAGATATGGGGATGAACGGAGATTAGTTGCCGGGATCAAAAGTTGGGAACTTTGTACATGTTGCGAGCAAACGAATGTGATTTAGCGACTTTAACCCACGACCAGATGGTGCCAATGCAGACTGCGGTGCACATTGTTCCTTTTGTGAGAGCCACTGTTGAGCAGTCCTGCTTCACTATTACAAATTAGTCCAGATGCGAACTCGTACCCAAAAAACGTTCCTTCCTCTTTATCAACCATGCTGCAAAACTGAGAAACCATGGCGTTCGCAATTGATTGGATGAGTAAATAAATAAATGAATGGTATATTTGTCATCAGTACGAAACACAGACCTAATGCGTTGTCCGATCGTTACGTACAACCTACTCGGATGGTAGAGCAAAATTCTTGAATTTTATAAAGTAGGTCTTAGAGAAGTTTTGTGATGTTCAATTATTTAAAAATGCGAAAAGTAGGCGGAACCAGCAGTTCACATAAAGTAATACGACTATAAATGCAACCGTCGCCTGGGAACCTGTTTCCATGCGCGGTAGTCGTCTCTCGAGACGTTTCATCCGCACTTCCACCCCTCATCTGGCTAAATGCTGATGCGGCGGGTTAAAGGCAGTAAGCTGTCGTCATGTTGACTGGGTTTTTTTGGCCACTGTGGTAAGTAATAGGCCATCAAAATGTGGACTAGATTTTCGAGTCTAGCGCCTAATTTTTTCTCGCTACTTGGTCTGTGACAATTCGCCTTGCGTGGGTGCAATTATTTAACTTGCAAGCTTCACTCCATTACCTCAGGAGATCGGCCCAGACGTGACAAACAATGGAAAGAAAAATAATAAGCGGATAGAATAGAAACTATAAATGCTACATCCCTGTCTAGAATGAGATGTGATCTGGCGGTTGTCCGTTTCCGTTTGTACAAGAAACCGAGGTGGACATATACATAAATACATAAGCTTTTGTTCTCGGTTGTGTGTTCGAAGTATTGATAAACCATGCTAATAGAGACGTAAGCGGAGCTAAAGCTGGGTATCGACTGAGAATTGATCGGCCAGCAATTACCAGTCTGCATAAAACGAATCGAACTATACCGTCAATATGATAAACCCGTGGAGTGGAACTCACTCACACTGGCTGAAAACCTGACGCACAAAAATGAACGATCTTGACCTCCAAAATTAGCACGTTTCAGCTACCTATAAATACAGTTAACTTATGGTGTAGATAGACTCCCTGTTTACCGAGCCTTGGTCTTCTGTATTCCGTCGGTTGGTTGGGCGCGTGACTGAGAAGTCAGACAGTCGCAGTCTCATAGGGCAGTTAGCAACGGTACATCCTTGTGCACATTAATTGAAACAAACTACGATTGTGTCTCTTTTTCTATGAATATCCTGTTTTTATACATGAAAGCTGCCGTTTTGCCTTTATTTTTGTTATTTTACTTTGGGAATAGATATTTCATCATTGTTTGTGAATCAGACGATGTAATAACTGCGCATATCTAGTCGTTACATCACCCAAGATTGCGTCATACTTTTTATGGTTAATAAGGTTTTTGTTTCAACTTCTTGTTTTGTTGTGATTCAGTCATTGTTTGAGATGGACGTGACTCCCAGAAGGCGCATGAAGATCGTGACCTTGCACGAACACCCAGACAAGACCTACAGGGACATAGCAATAATAGTAGGCGTCAGTCCGGCAACCGTCAGCCGTGTGGTCAAAAAGAAAAAGGAAACGGGATGCATTCCGCCAAAAAGCAAAGGGAAATGTGGTCCTAAGAGGAAAACCACTACCAGGGATGACGCTTACCTAATACGGGAAAGTGTTAAAGATCCTCGAAAGACTAGTGACGCATTAAAACGTGATTTGAGGGAGAAAGGAATAGAAATCAGTTCTTCAACGGGATCTGGCCCCGTGCCACACATGAAAAATGGCCAAGACTTTTTTCAATACTAATCAAATAACCATCTTGGACTGGCCTGGGAATTCACCAGATTTAAACCCCATTGAAAATATGTGGTCTATTTGCAAGCAATGCCTTCGTGGCATGGACTGTACGACAAAGGAGAAACTTATTCAAGCTTTAATTCAAGTTTGGCACAGGGACCCAAGATGTTGAAATACGCCAGATCCGTCAGGAAATGTCTTTTTTAGTTCTGGAACAGCTCTTCTTTGGAGAACTTCTATGTATTGTGGAGAGCGCATCATGCCCTGGACTGGATGCAAGGCGCGGACGCCGTAATAACTAAAGCACCCCCAAAACATCTGCTTTTGTGGGTGTTTCACAAAGTGGTCAATGTGGGAATCACGAACCTTTTCTCCCTCTGACCTCCGAACATACTGACTTCTCTGACCATGAACATAGAAATGGCTTTCATCGCTGCATAGGACTTTTCTCCAGTCTTCTTTTGTCCAGTTTTTGTATTTTAGTCCCCATTTGTAACGCTTAACTAACATTACTTTTGTCAGAAGTTGTTTTTTTCACAGGTCGTCTGGCTTTCCGACCAACTTCCAGGAGTCGCCTGCGAACCGTTGAAGAACTGATTTCTATTCCTTTCTCCCTCAAATCACGTTTTAATGCGTCACTAGTCTTTCGAGGATCTTTAACACTTTCCCGTATTAGGTAAGCGTCATCCCTGGTAGTGGTTTTCCTCTTAGGACCACATTTCCCTTTGCTTTTTGGCGAAATGCATCCCGTTTCCTTTTTCTTTTTGACCACACGGCTGACGGTTGCCGGACTGACGCCTACTATTATTGCTATGTCCCTGTAGGTCTTGTCTGGGTGTTTGTGCAAGGTCACGATCTTCATGCGCCTTCTGGGAGTCACGTCCATCTCAAACAATGACTGAATCACAACAAAACAAGAAGTTGAAACAAAAACCTTATTAACCATAAAAAGTATGACGCAATCTTGGGTGATGTAACGACTAGATATGCGCAGTTATTACATCGTCTGATTCACAAACAATGATGAAATATCTATTCCCAAAGTAAAATAACAAAAATAAAGGCAAAACGGCAGCTTTCATGTTTAAAAACATGATATTCATAGAAAAAGAGACACAATCGTAGTTTGTTTCAGTTAATGTACAACAGTCGTCAGTGGCAGAGAGTAGAGGTAAAGTAGAAGCGTTACAACACATGCAACTCTTGAAAAGTTTTCAGGTGGTTCCACCGAGTGACATTTATTTCGTATCTAGATTTCTTGTCGCTAACACTAAGGCGTTGGTCAACTCACTATGCCTTGCCTTACGTTGTGTGTTTTCGCTTGGTATGGTATAGCCATCTGTCCTCAGCCCGTTCAAGGCGGAAGGCACTTCACTCCTACTTCAAATGGCGGTTTCGTTGACCGGCACTTGTGGATTTTATCAGTTCAGATATGTGTGCCGATAGGTGTGCCCTGAGTTAATCAGGGACCAACTGAGGACATTCTTCTGTTATGCAGCCACCGAAGGGAATGCGCACTTGAGGTCACACTTTCTCTAGATTTGAAGGGGCTTATCAAGAAACTGTGCGCTTTCTATGTCTTTCCTCAGTCCAGAGATGTATTCATGAATTCGCAAATGATTTTAGCTTGCTTCAGACTGCATTCAATATGACCAAATGTGAATAGATCTTCCCGGTCATCTTGAGGTTCGAGTGCGCCTGAAATGCAGTCGCGGTCAACCAGGAGTTAATTCCATGTTGGCTTTGATGTTGACGTGATCTTAGAGCCATTACGTTTTCGTACACACAGTGAACATTTGGTGTCGCTGGGCTAGCTGCAATCAGTCGAAAGATAGCTGGTTATTGGAATTTGGCCTCCCGAAAGCGCCGCATACCACGATCGCTTTCGAACTGGTCTGATCATTAGTTGGAGAGAACAGACAGGCGAACCTGGGGCCTTTGCAGTGTTAGCCGAATCCTCTACTCCTAAGCCACCGAGTAACGGTGAGCAATGCATATCACGACATTTAATGATTGGTGGGAGGGATCATTTTTGAAGCACTCTTGTGAATGAACCGGGACGCGCAAACTAATTGTGGATCGCGGTTCACTGACATCCCGACAACCCGAGTTCGTTTGACTACTACACCTACTGGATGCAATCATTGATTTCGGAATCGCTCATGGAATGTAGTAGTTTATGGCCGGCAACACCCAATCTCAAGTTGTATCATCAGTGACGGTCTCAGTGATAGAAATGACAAAGGTGCACTCTAAAGAGAATCACGGTCCATGGACACATATTTTCGATAAATTCATGCATGACCCTAGACCTGAGCACTACATAAATTGGCAGAGATTGCACCAATGTCCTGGCATAATTTTGAAACAGTATTAAAATAAAGTGCAAAGCAATAATTTGAATCGCTCGCAACTATGTGTGTGTACGCTGTCAGTGTGACATTGCGCCCCGCCTGTGGGCGTCCTACACTTTAAGGAATCCTCTGGTTGTAGACATCCACAAGTCGGATAGGTGAAGTTTGGTGAGCCCGAAATGTGATTGACCAAGATATGATTCCGGTTGTTGATGATTACCGGGTGATGCATGATAGTTAATGTCGAAGTAAATTCAGAGTGCACAATGCAAGCTATGGTTTCCGCATGAGCACCTGCGCCGTATTTGTCAATTTTTACTTAGTAGCTACGGGTCATTCTGTAGCTGTCGCATATTCACACGTCCATTACATGTGCTGTGGAGTTCTTAATGGCGATTAAATCCGGCTTGATGTACGTTGATGCAGCTGGGATGCGGGGCTCCGGGATGATTTGAGCTCCTTTGGGACGAAGAGTGTTCGTTAGTTGTTTCATGATATCGTTGTGCCTCTTCCAGCGATCATTGTGTGCTACTGCAGTGCGTGAGAAAGTGTTTTGCTTTGTTCGCAAGCGCCCCTGCAGTGAAGATCGGTTGGATTTGGGGGTGGTCTTCCGCCGAAGCATCGAGATTGCGCGTCGCAGTCCAGTCACACTGCGAGTAGTTCAAAATGACCCCTCCAGTCTGTCGAACGTTACAGCTGTTTGGGGCTACGTAGGTGTAACAATACCTTATCCGAGACCCATGAGCTACAAGTGCATCGCGAATCCGCGATGCAAAACTACAACAAATACCGGTCATAAGATCTTAGGAAGACTACGTTATAATCAGTGGTTAACTCACCTTGCAGTGGTTATTGGGGGAAAACGATAGAATTGAGAAGTGAAGTAGATTTCTTTCGGTTCATCAGTCCTAATCGTATCCGAGTGAAATGCTGAGCTTCGGAAACTGCAGGATTGAAAGGAATATACTTTGCCGATGAACGCATGTCTCCAGCGTTGATACTATTATTTCAAAAGAGTATGACTGATATTTTAGGTCAATAAGTTGTACACTATGGCTGGTTTTGTCCCTAGTTGTACTTTGGTGTGGTCTAAATCGGATACCTTTATGGACCTCTGTTGAACACCATGGCTGATCCATCTACTTGACTCTATGAGAAATAACATCATTTTGAAACCTAATAGTCGCAGCAAAATACGGCTTTAATGTCATATCGATGATCGGTCACAACATGAAACATATCCCAAGATAACTCTCCGATGAGATTGCATCGTGACCCGTGACAAGCTGGTTAGTTCGAAGCCCGTTTCTTCGCGTATCAGTATTTAATTGAGTTTACAAGGTGCTATTGTAACTATGAAGCCAGCAGTCAGCATAAAAAGCATTCAACGGTCTTTGCACTATTTGGAGTCCTGCCAGAAGTGCCGCTGCCCCGACGGATTGGATCCACGGGCTATAGAGTGACGAGACACGGAGACTTCAGTAAGTGATGCAGCTGCTTGGCTGGAAATAAAAACTCCGTGCAGACCAGCTGAATCCCCATAGTTCAATTGTGAACATCCGCAAATGCGTACTCGCCCATAAAGTCATAAACGATGAGTTGATGACAGCGACTGTCGATTAAACGGAGGATACCACATCCATTAATTTGCCACCTTCAACCCTGTCCAAGGTGACCACTCAAGAGACTGACAAAATGTGGGCGCTTTGAACAGGTGATCGCCATGGACAAGTTCATGCATAAAGACATTACTCATAGGAGAAAACGTTGAGGATGTTTTGGTTGGTTGACATAAACAGGTAGTCGCCATAGCAGGTTGGCCTGTATCAGTAGGACGGTTGTCCCGTCCGGTTAGGTTGAGCTATGATCCAAGCAGTGAATGCGGTGGAGCACAGTTACAGGACGCGCGTCGTCGTTATAGTACAGGTTAACAACAACAATGAACAATGAACAATGATTTATGACGGGTAAAAAAGCAGGTGCTTGACATGTCCCGTAGGGTGGAGAGCGTGACAAAAAAGATAGCTAAGGGATAATGTTGTCAGTTCGGGCGCTTACAGATGTAACTGCATTTTCGTATAAAGGGGGTTCGAAACGAGAATGTACGCACACAAAGCAACAGGAGAGTGGTTATTGTTCACATCATAGGCGAGAAAAATTAAAAAAACGATAGCAAGGACAACGCTTACTTGTGTGCGATTATTGTTGGTCGACAGGATACAGAAATCCAGTGTCTATAGTAGTAGCGTTTAGTAAATTTCGTGCAAGGCGTTTGGAGTGACTCGCTCTCGAGTAGGGTTATGGCACTATCCACTGTCGGTTGCCATTAGTGCCAGCATCTGGTGGTCATGAGCTATAGCACATAGTGAAAATGTGATAGGGTATCGTCAAGGCGTTTTTTGAAAAGGTATAGGGTGGGTGCATTAATTACATGTTCCGGGAGAGCGTTCCAAGGCTGTGCCACTCGAAGGGAAAAATAGTTTCGCCGACATTCCAGGCGGCTGTACTGCGTGACTAACTTAAACTGGTGACCTCTTAGCGAGGTGTTTTGACTGAGTATTAGAAGGGAATGGCATGGGTGGTTGGGGTCTCTCAGGATTAGGTACACCATTATGAGATCGCCCCTTAGCCGCCGATAACGTCCGCTGTAGATTTTAAGGGTCTTCAGCCTGAGTGGGTAGGGGAGGCTGGTCAAACCTCTGACGCTCTTCGTTGCCCTACGCTGTGCAGTATCGAGCGCGGTGAGATGGTGCTTGAGACAAGGTTGCCACGCTTGGATAGCGTATTCCGCGTGCGGCCTCACGTACGCGCTAAGCATTTTTGGAAAGATCGAAGGGTCAAACTTCCCGAAGGCTCTGCGAAGAAGGCCGAGGTACTGGTTTGCTTTCTTAGCTGCCTTTTCAGTCTGCCTCGAACAACCGAGGTCATCTTGAACTATCACCCCGAGATCGCACTCGTGAGAAGCCCGCTGTAGAATTTTTGATCCTAGGCGGTAGCAGTGCAAACTCTTGTGCCGTATACTGAGAACCTTGCACTTGGTGACGTTGAAATGCAGCATGTTGTCGATGGACCATGTGTACGCTTTGTCCAGGTCCTCTTGTAACAATGTGTGATCCTCCACTTCAGCTATAGTGCGCCATACCTTTAGGTCATCAGCAAATAGCAAGCAGTTAGAAGAGAGCACACTCGCGAGATCATTTATGAAGACCAGGAACAGGCGGGGTCCAAGTACCGAGCCTTGAGGTACGCCGCACTGAACTTCGATGGATTCTGATAGGTTGCTCCTAACCCTAACATTCAGGTGACGTTGTAGGAGAAAGTCTCCTATCCAGCCCAGAACAGGATCGCCGATTCCATATTTCTGGAGTTTGTGGAGGAGAATGCGATGGTCTATGCGGTCGAATGCCTTTGAGAAATCCAAGTAGGCCGCGTCGACTCCAACATCAGCGTCCACAGATTCCGTCCAGTTTGCACGAGCAATCAAGAGATTAGTTGTACAGGAGCGATTTCTGCGAAATCCATGCTGTTCCGGAACGAGAATTTGGTTGTTCTCCAGGTACCCCATTAAAGCCTCAGCTACAATGGACTCCATAACCTTGGAGATCACAGGAAGGAGTGTTATCGGGCGATAATTTGCTGGATCAGCACGACTGCCACTTTTGTAGATAGGCGTGATGATTCCGTGCTTCCACATCGTGGGGACGTGCATCTCGTTCATACATCGTTGAAAGAAAATTGCTAATGGTCCTGCCAAACTCATGGCAGCAACTTTCAACGCCTTCGGTCGAATGCCGTCCGCACCCGGGGAGCTGAACTCGCGCAGAGACATCAGCCTCTTCAGTACAGCTGCGGAGGTAAACGATATGTGGTTTAGCCCTGATGGCGGCGTTATCTGCTTAGGCAGGATGTACGGTGATTGCTCGCTTTGGAAGGTACGGCCAAATTGTTGTCCAAGAAGATTGGCTGCCTCTTGTGCGGTTTGGGCTAAACCGTATGCTGTGTGCAGGGCAGGAATACCGCGCTTAACACGGCGCAAATTGTTTACGTGTCTGTATAGCAGCTTGGGATTGGAGCTAAACTTTTCCGCTAGACTTTGTTGGTTCTTAAGTTTATCCTCTCGAACGAGTTTGACACAGTGGTTTCTGTGTATTGTGTAGACATCCCAGGTATGATCGTTCGGGGAGGCTATATAGGTGTGCCATGCCGAGTCCCTTAATGACATGCACTTACGTGTCCTGCTCCTTACGAAGGACTTCATCCTTTTGGTCCGGTAGCATTTGGTTTCAGATGTCCGTGCCACGAGCTTGGTGAATATGTTGACGAATTCACCGCAGGCCACCTCAGGCGTTAATTCAGCTAAGAACGACCAGCTGGTTGCATCAATTAGGTCGGACAGGTCTTCATAGTTGGTTATGACACGATATTCCTCGGCATGCTCTTTAGGATAATCCGCGTAGCACATGTAATGAAACAATAGCGTCGCATGATCACTGCGGCCCAAAGGAGTATCGGTTACCACTCTCTCGACCATTAATTCTTCATTGGTGAATATTCGGTCCAAAATGGATGGCCTGTCAGTTCCCCTGAATCTGGTGGGCGTAGTGATGTGGCCATAAAGAGGATAGTCTGAAACCAGATCTTGCAAATCCGCTTTGAATTGCTCTCCTGGTGTGGCCTGGGATTCGAGGGCATGTAAGTTGAAGTCACCGGTGACTAGAATGTGACTGTACTTCCTGTTTATCACGTGCTTCAATGCAGCCATCAAATTGCAGTCCATCTCAGGAGTAGACGAGGGTGGGCGGTAAACAACAATCAATAGGCCAAGATCGTTCCCTCTCAGTCGGAAATTACACCAAATGGCGTCAGGTAAGTCGGTTTCCGAATCGTTTATGCGTTCGCATTGCATGTTGTTACGAAAATAAAGGGCTACCCCACCACCTCTGCTGGTTCGATCCTTCCGGATAACGGACATGCCCGTTAGTGCAATTTCAGCATCGGTTATCTCGCAGCGCAGCCACGTTTCTGTGACAGCGATAAGGTCCCAAGCTGCAGACGCGTGTCGAAGTCTTAATTCAGCTAATTTGCTGAGTAGACCTTGGGCATTTGTGTACATGCATGAGAGATTCTCGGAGACCAAATGTGTGTTAGATTGGATGGATGAAACAAATGAGTTTACGCCGACCATTAAAGGGTCGGCGGCTAATCGTTTTTTGGATGGGTTGCATACTCTCGAGAAGTATTTGATATATAGGCAGGTATCAGATGCTCCGAATCCCGGTGTTTGCTCGTGCTCTGCTGCGCCCCTCCGGATAGTATGGCTACTCTTGAAACCGTCCCCGAGTCGGGTCCTGCAGTTGGCGTTTTCACTAAGTGTTGTGCCTCTACTGAATTGTCATTAAAAGGTGTGGGTGTTCCTGCTGCTTTCAGACGAATTTCTGTTGGCAATCTGCAACGGAATTTAATCCAGTTCGCTAGTACGGTTTGTGCCATTAGTTCTGACTGTAACACAAGTTTTAAGAGCCTGGGACCGCACCCTTTATAGTTTGGTGATATGGAGATCCTTGTCATCGAGGTGACCACCACATTTTCGAGAGAAAGAACCTCCCGGATGTAGTGCCATTGCTCGCGGTCGTGCGTCTGGGCATCGTCGGAAGAGGAGGCAGTAAGCTCAGGAACACCGTGAGCAATCACTGTTTTCTTATCTTGACTTATTCTGTACCTATCTTTGTTAGCGGGATCCCCTGAACGTTCTTTCCACGGGATTTCAGGTAGTATGCGCACTCCACTTGAGTCGTTGCGGAGACGATTCGCAGACAGCAGAACGGCCTCAGTCTCGTCTGCTGAGTTTAGTGTTACCCGAAGTAACCGGGGTTCGCCGTAGTGCAACGCGTTTGGGTGGCGTGAGATTCTTTTTAATGTCGTGGGATTAGCATGGACACCGATC